GTGACTAAGGACCTTGTGGTCCAAGCAGAGCCCTCTGAAGCTTCAGTCACAGTGAAGGAGAAACAAATTAGCGCTGAAAGACCAAAAATTGCAGCTCAGAGTGACTCCACTCAAACTACACTGGAGCAATCAAGTGAAGCAGAGACAACATCTGCACAAATACGCTTACCTGAGCAAGACATTGTAAAACAAGAAACACTGATTGAGCTAAAGATCTTGGAAATCGCACAGGACAGACCTACAAGGATTAAGAAACTTGGTGTCAAAGAAGGCGCTTCTAAATTGTTAATGCATGGAGTGGGTGATGCACCCAAGAGCCTAAGTGACAAGTCTGTTACAGTAGACGAAACCCAGATTGAGCCTGAGGTGCTTGTTTTACAAGTAGAAGTACCAACAAGTCGTCATGAGCATGAACAAACATCTTTCATGATAGAAAAAAGTGACTCCGCTCAGCCTGCTCTGCTAGAGCCAGAGGTCAGTGGAGAGCTCTTGAAAACCACAGAAGACAAACCTATTGTGACTAAGGAATTTGTCCAAGACAAGCACCCTAAAGTATTAACACATGGAGTGGAAGACGTACCCACAAGCCTGGATGTCAAATTTGTTAAAATGAAGAAAATTCAGATGGACCCTGAGGTGCTTGTAATACCAGCAGTTCGAGAAGAGCACGTGTCAAGAACAGATACATCTCGATCAAGTATCCAGTGTGAAAGTTCAGAAGAACACAGAGATACGAGTGCAGCTGAGGTTCTTCCTAAAGAGGCTGAAGTTAAAACCAGAGTAGTAGAAGTCCAACAATTTAGGACTGAAATGAAGGAAGGTGTAGCTCAGACTGACGCAGCTCAATCTGTACTGATACATGCAGGTGAAACAGAGTCAACATGTGTAGAAATAAGTTTATCTGAACGAGACACTGTAAAACCAGAAACTCTTAATAAGTTGAAGTTCTTGAATACCACAGAGGAGAGACCAAAGGACGTCAATCTGCGAGAGGAGTTTGTAACTAAAGATGTACTTGATGCACCTAAAGGCCAGCATGAAGTGTCTGTTACAGTGGAAAAACTCAGCATGGGGTCTAGCGTACCCACTCTACAGCCAAATATACCGGCCACCATAACCACATCTGTTGTGATAGCAACAAGTGCAAGGACTGACAGTGATCAAACAACTACGAAGTCTGAAAAAATAACACAAACCAAAGAGCTTAGGTCTCTTGAAGCAGAGAAAGAAAAGCCTGCATCTGAGATGAATAAAGCAGATGCTCCAAAAAGCTTTACCAAACTCCTGTCAGAACCGGTTGTGTATCCTAAAGTCCAAACAGATGCAACAAATAGGAAAGAAGAAGAAGAGAAGCAGAAGAAGAAAATTCAAGAAAAGGAAAAAGAAAGAAGCACCAGTGTAGAACTGCCATTCAGCATAAGCACAACAACCACCATCACTACCATGGAGGCCACTGGAACAAGGCTTAAGAAACTGCCACAGGTATGTTATGATGACCTATTTTTCTATGATAAAGTGCAATTATGTTAACCCTGCATCATATATAGACTAATGCATAGCCTACATGTAAAACATGAACTTGTCTACCAAAGCCAGCCCAGAAAAGCCTTCAATCTTGCAAAGGGAACCTCTTGATTGCAAAAAGAAGTTGCATTATGCAGAGGTCTTTCAAAAAACAAATGTAATTTCTCAATTGGTGTATGATTTCACTTCTTCAGCGTTAATGGCCTCACCTGTTAGTCAAGTCTTATTTAATACAACTTAATGTTTTTGTAAAATTTGGTCACAAAGAGCAGCGGTCCGCAACCTTTTTTGCGCCATGGACCGGTTTATGTCTGACAATATTTTCACGGACCGGCCTTTACGTTGTCGCGAATTAATCCAACAAAATAAAACTGGTACCAAAAAAAAGAAGTAGATTTATTCATAACACACTGGAAAAGACCTAGGGAAGCCAGCGATAAAAACCAATAAAAACCCTGAAAACCATAAATTTCACACCCGAACCTCAACTATCATGGCCCGGTACCAAGCGACTCCGGTCCGTGACCCGGGGATTGGGGACCGCTGACATGGCGTATATATATGTGCATTAATACCTAGTTTCATGTCCACTATAGGAGCAAGTATTCAGTACTGACACATCACTGCAGGTGGTTCAGATATCATCAGGTGATACTGTACTGGGTGAAGAACCCCATTTGAAAGGACTGACCCCTCAAGAAAACAAAATAGTCGCAAATGACATGGAAACTGAGAGAACAGTACTGGAGTCACCAGGAGAAACATCCATTTTGACAGTGATACAGCTACTCAAAGACATGGGACCCAGCAGTCAACTCATTGAGGTAAAATAAATATTATCTGTCATTGGCTCTGTGTTTGTTTTTGAACCAAGAAAGTCACAAAAGTTCCAAATGGTCACTTTCTATATGTAGGATTAAAATACAGAATAATCTTTCAAATAAAGCGGTGATGAACATGTACTCAATACATCATAATTACTGGCTGAAATGTAGATCATAATTCTTAGTTATTTTGACTCTTTTTTAATCCTCTTTCACATCAGTTCAGTTCAATCCAGTTTTAGATATATGAAGTAAACTCAAGAAAAACCTCAAAGCAGAGTTTGCAAAGGTTGTTTGTGAGAGCTTTGAGGCAATTTATATGGTCAAGACATATCTTACTCTGTAGAGAGGATCATAACAATTCCTCCCTCAAACTGTTTTTTTCTGATATATATTTTCATATAGGCCCTAAATTAAACAACAAAACCAAAGCTTGTGCCTTAACAAATCCTGTTCTGCATCTGACGTGTCTTTCTGTCTGAAGGGTAAACCACTTGAGGATGCTCCAGAGGTTCTGAT